TTTCTTTCCACCCTTTCCCTCCCCAAAAAAAATCCAGTCACGGGGTCACCCAGCGAAAATCCCACTCCCAGCCCGGGCTTTGCCCCAAAAAAAGGGGGGTGTGGTGGTGGCTGGAGGAGGAGAACAGACCCAGAAGACCGAGTGGGGCTGCAGGAGGAGCTGGAGGAGAATTTCTGCCGCCCGAAAAAACCTGAAGTGCTTCCGCCAGCAATCGGCCGGAACCATCAAAATTAGCATAAATTCCATTAACGCCTTCCCAGATGAGGCGTTTGGAGGCTTCTCCCTCCCTTTCCCGGCACAAACAAAAGAGGATATAATTGGTTTGCAATGAAACGAAGCCCCAAAAAGGCCCTGGGCCCTCCAACAAAGCTCTGGCTGGAAGGTGCTCCTGACCCCTCTGCTCCCATCTCCTGATTTCCCACCGAAGGGAAAAAAAAAAAAAAACCCTCTCGATGTTTTAGGGATGTTTTGCCACGTCCACACTTTACCAGCAGGTGATGGGGGGGGTTCTCAGAAGGTTTTTGGGGCGCCCTTGGAGCTCCCACCACGGTTCAGGGGAGGGTTTGGAAGGACACGCACAGGGAAAAAAAATCTGATTTTTGCAACGCAAACCCAGTCGCTCACTGCAGGCACCGTGGGGGGCAATCATCTGAAATAATGGGCCTTTTTATTGGCACGAGGATGACAACTCGGAAAAGGGATTTGCTCGTGAGCAAAAAAAGCCTCCTCAGCTCTTCGGAACAACACTAAAAAACCTGCCTATAAATACGACCTGCCAATAGAGGCATCTCAGCTGCGAGGATTTAATTACTCTCAGCCTCCAACTTCTGCAGCAAATTGGGGGTTTTTTTGGGGTGATTTTCCCTGCCAAGAGGTCAAATATCAAGGTCAACAGCCCTTGGAGGACGAGCCGTGTCCCTTCAGGGCCTCGGTTCCCCCGTAAAATGTAGATAATTTTATCTCTCCTCCTCATTAATGTTTATTCTCCCAAAGATCTCGAGGCTCTTCGCAATCTATTATGAATTAATTGTTATTGATTAAGTTAAAACAAACCATGTACACCCTAAATAAAGCGAAGCAGCTGGATGATGGGAACAATCTGCTTTACGAACCCCCTTCTCCGCCGCGCGATTTTGAGCATTTAGTTCCGCTTTCTAATTGCTAATATCCATCCTTCAATTACCCCGCTGTTTTGTTTCAGATTTCAAAGATTACGGAGCTGTTGTTGGTTTATGATTATGTGAATTCCCCTCGTGTAATTGTTGGGTTTGGGGCTGATCCGTTTGCATGTTAAAAAGCCTGAGTAGGGGAGATGTGGCTTGAAATGGGTTTTGCCCCTGGCACCGGGGGCCGGCTGGTGCTCAAATCAACATTTAAAGATAAAAATCCGTCAGATTTCTTAGCTGACAACACTTAAAAAACAGCTTCCCAGGGATGTTCAACACTCGTGTTCTGCATCCAGCCCCGTGCACAACCAGCGCGGGGGGATCAGGCTTTGCTTAAAATGACAACAGGGCTGGGCCTGAGGACAGTGTTTAATCCCCAAAACAGCCCCAAAGAGCCCCAATGTTCGCGCAGGGACCCCCAAAAAGGAGCCGCCCCGTGTTTTTTTGGGGCCTTGGGCCTTCCTGGCGTCCCAGGCCCGCGCTGTTGCTAAGCAACGCGCGCTGCCAGCAGTAAAGATGGCGCCCCTCCGGCTTCAGCGGGCCGCGCGTCGGCGCCCGGCGTCGGGGACGCGCCGCGCCCGCAGCAAAGATGGCGCCGGCTCGGCTTCAGGAGGGCGGCGAGCGCGGCCAATGAGAGGCCGCGGTGGCGCCGGGCCGCGCGGGGATTGGCTGGCGGCGGGGGATTCAAACCGGAGAGCGCGGGGCGGTTGGGGCGGCGCCCGCGGCCGGGGCTGGAGCCGGAGCGGCGGCGGGGCCGCGGCCCGGG